GAACTTTGTGTCACCTTTTTTAATAATATACTCGTAACAATTACTAAATGATCATCAAGCTTTATATCGATGAAAGATTAAAAAAAATCGAATCATTAGTTTTTGAAAAAAAAACAAGAAGTTTATTATCAATTTATAGACTTACTTTGGATCCGACGCACGCGGGTGCGTGGGGGCATGTCCTCATCCGCTTTCGTTACGATCTTGGTCTGAGTCCTAGTCTCTGACTAGGACCCGGGGCGAGCGTGACATTAACATTCTGTTCGATTTATCAATATCAATACTAAGCAATAGTTTATATTTAGATTCTTGGGTCTTATTATCGGTTATAGTGGCCCGGTGTCCTGTAGAATAGGATTATTCTAGTATCAATCAATAGTACCCGTTCTTGAATAGAATAAGAATAAAATGACAATTGTAACTGTAACATGAGGAGAAATAAATAAAACATTATTGTAATGACTATTAAATCAACTGTTTAAGAATACTTTATTAGGTATTGTTATTGAAGCTAAGGAGATACTCATATAATCTATATATTTATGCTCAAGGAAAAGGCATGAAACTGAAAGACGAGACTGAAATGAACTGTTTATATTTCTCGAGAATATCGGCCGCTGTCTGGCTTATTTTTATGTACAGCCTCACGACAATGAGGTACTTCATTTAATACTAGTATTTAAAATTAGCTATATACAAAACAATAATATATCATAGTTAAATATTTTAATAACAGTACGATAGAACTTTAGGGCTTATGGTTCTCAATTATATCACTGAAGATACACAAATAGATCGATATCCGATATCGTTTAACGTCTTTCACATCGTTCACTAGAATAGAGAACATTTGAGGAACATGTTTAGAAGTGTACTCTGCTATGTCCGTTCCAGCGCGCGGCGGCTGGCGGGGGCGTGTCGGCTTGTAGCGAGGTGGAGGTGAGTTCTGTGAGCGGCGCGGGATAGTACACTGTGGGAGCGGGACAGAGCGAGCGCCGTGTGCGCCCCGCCCCGCACCCCGCCCCGTTGCTGTTGCCGTTGCCGTTGACGGCGGTCCGCGTCGCGCGAGCCTCCGACCGGCGCAGGGTCCCGTTGCGCGCGAGTCGCAGCGACACGCGCTCCCCGCACGAGGCGAACGAGTCGTCGCGTGTGTGCTCCGGTGAGTCGCGCATGCTGCGCCGCCAGATGCCGCCCGCGCAAAACATCTTCAGAAAGACCCGTTTAAATTTTTCCCCGAATATGACATAAATCACGAAGTTCACACTGCTGTTTATCGTCACCAGGAGGTTACTCGTCTTTATGAGCGGGTCTAATTTTTCTAACTGATTCTCGAAGAATACCTCGCAGGAGTTCGTCACCAACGGTAAAATGTTGCACAGGAAGAAGACCAAGACGACGACCAGGAGCATCGTGGCGAGGCTGATTTCTCGACGCTGGACACGTGAGAGACGTGCGCGTTCGGCTTGCGCTCGTCGCACCTGCTTGACGATACACGCGTTTAAGGCTGCGAGTGCAGTGAACGGCACTATATACATCACGATCAGGTACATCCAGTGTATATATACTGCGACGTAAGACTCGGTGCGAAAAGTTTCGTTAGGTTTGACACAGTACACGAGTTCACCGTCGTCCACGCTCTCGTACGTTTCCGCTTCGAAGAACTTTGGAAAGTTGTAGAGGAACGCGAAGATAGCCGTCCCGAACACGTAGAGGCGTGCACGAGACGAGGTGCACAGCGCTTTGGCCCGGAACGGATGGCAGACGGCGACCCAGCGCTCGATGGTCACGATCAGCGTGAGGTACACCGACATGGTCTGCGCCGCATTCGCGATGGGGTACGCGAAGGGGGTGATATGAGGGCACACGTGGTAGTAGTAGTAGCGCAGAAATCCCGTGTAGGGGTAAACGGCGGTCAGACCGAAGAGCAATACTGAAGTGATGATGAGTACAGTGTCACAGGCGGCGAGGCCGATGAGCAAACAGTTGACAGAGGAGCGCATCTGCGGGCGTGACAGGACGAGCACGGCGAGGGCGTTGCCGAGCAGACCGCCGGCGCCGATGCAATTAAGCAGAACGCCGTTCACCACGAACCGGTACAGCTTGTCGGACGGCTCCACGTCCCAGTCGGACTCGCAGCCCTGGGTCTCGTTCATGCTGCGGCCGCCGCGCGCGCGCCCCCCGCCCCTTCCCTCATTGCTGTCCCCCCCGCCTTGCGCCTGTTTTTACCACGCGCCTATCGCTTCCTTTAACTGCTCCGCCTGAAACAACAACAAAAATCTCCATTAATCACAGCTTATCTTTATCTTAGATATTTTAGTCTTAATAAAAAGTAATAGGCAGAACTTGAAAACGACTGGGCCGACGGCCTGTTTATTGTTTATCAATATTCTTTAAAGTTCGAGGAATGTTTTTATGGAGATACAACATTAGAGGTTAATAATAAAATGATTGAAACGATAATGAGTTTAACCTAAAAATGTTTAAAGAGCGCATGAAATTTGCTGGTGTAGTTATAAGTTTGTGATGACACGAAGGGATTACGTACCTTCGTTGATAACGCATAGAACCAAGTCAATAAACAAATAGAAAATTAAGTATTCACCTAGGAATTAAAGGATTGTCATATGTTACAGAAGTCACGTCTTTTTCACCACATGAAAACAATAAATAAGTTTTAAGTTTGAATACTGAGCACAGCGAAGTCTACAGTTTATTCCTGTGAGAAGTGGGAGTCATGAAGAGTCCTGAGTAAAGCGAAGGATCCAATTAACCCATACGACAGGCTTTGTTCCAGATATTAATACTTATTGTTCACACCTACTGCGATAATAAAGTGATTTAAAAACCACTGAGGGCTGAGTTGTTTGTTTACTTAATAATAAATAAAAACAAAAAAGATATTTCAGTAACTCCATTCTACTACATACTACTTCATTCGTCTTTATTGGCTTTCATTATACTGTATCGGATTACATCAGATGTCGTGATACTTCATCGGACTTTGTAGCGCATCATACTATATCATTGTACTAAATCGTACTTCATTTCACTTCACGAGACTTCATTAGCTTACATTACATTTCATTTCCAATGCTCGAGTCGTATTCTAGATCGTCTTTATACGAAATTCAAGTCATTTTATTACCTTCAATGCAATATTATGTACATTTGCGTTTGCAAGCGTACGAACGGACACTCATAATTTAACTTTTTGGTGTAATTTTTACACTTTTGACCCGATCGAAAATCGAACCCGTGATTGCAGAGATGGTGCTTAAAACTTATACTAAGCCACGGAGGTTATCAAATCTGTCTTCGCAATTATTTCTTACCTTGGTGACTGACTATCGCCAATTGAAGCCATTCATAATTAACCGTTTTAAAAAAAAGGAGGTTATCAATTAGAGGTGTCTAAGGTTTATAGCGTTAAAATGATAAAAAACCACCACCCCATTCTATTTATTAATTCTGGCTGCTGCTTTTTTTCAACTTCTTGCTTTAATCTCATCATTCTTAATACAAAATGCTTCAATCCACTTGGGCCTTGGCACCCTGAGATGAGATTCGAACCCAATATTTTGTATTAAGAATAATTTTCAGTATAGCATTGTGAGTGCGAAATTAATCAAATTTAATCTCATCAGTTGTTCGCAGTGGAGTTCAGAATCGATGGTCCTGCCGGCGGTAACAGCTCATAATGAATAAATGCCCTTTCAATCCCATACACATTGAAATGAAATGAAATGAAAATATCTTTATTCAAGTAGGCTATTACAAGCACTTTTGAATCGTCCAAAAAACTTTTTTCCCCTACCACTTGTTCAGGACGTCTTTTAGCTGACAAGAAGAACAAGCGAAAGAAACTTATCAGCTTTTTATCATAAGTAATGACATTTACATAAATCATGTCATTACCAAAATAATATGTATTATCAATTTATCACAATAGTAAATACAACTTTCAAAGTCTGTAGGACATAGGTTGAACATATAATTAGTCTTTATAGAACAAAGCGAAGGCTATTAATTCCATGCATTGCGATCCTTAAAATAATCATCAACTTTATAATAGCCTTTACTTACAAGTATATTCTTTACATGAATTTGAAATTTATTTATGAGTAGGTCAATTACATTTTGTGGAACTTTATTGAACATAGCAATATTTACCCAGAAATGATCCTCTGGTTTTTTGAAGTCTGAAGCTTGGAACGGCAAGTTTATCTTTATTTCTTGTGTTAAGATTATGAACACTACTTTTTTTTGTGAAGGAATCGTAATGTTTTCTTGTGTACATAATATTCTCATAGATGTATTGAGAGGGAACAGACAGAATATTTATTTCTTTAAAAATTCTCTGAGAGATTCCCTAGACCGTAAATTATATATAGCACGGACAGCTCTCTTTTGTAAAATAAAAATATCCTAAATGCTAGCCGCAGAACCCCATAACAATATACCATACGTCATTACACTATGAAAATAACATTCATACACACATCATCACCTTGTTGCGAGTAAACCCGCGCCATATACGCTGATCTTTCTAACCGGTCAGCGGCTGCGTGCCATGATCGGCGGCGTGGGTCATCGGCGCGGGCGGCGCGGCGCACACGTCTAATCCTGACATTAGCTGTGCTTTTAACTTGTACCAACCGTTCTGTACGTCTTCACATCATTCTTAGCTTTCACAACATGTATTTTTTTTAAACTGATTGAAATCTAATTATTGTATAGGTACTGCTTGGGACTTTATTGTAAAAGCCCCCCGAATAAATTATTAATTTGATTGAAGTCTTTCTTTTATTTCTAGTATTTATAATAGAAAACGAATTAATATTTTTACGAACTTTTTTCATGGATTCATCACATAATTGACGATGTAAAAAGTTTTTCTTTCTGTCACCATTAAACTTCACAAACGTCACGGCTTTGTCATTTCAGAGACGAATGTCAAGAAGAACCATTTACGTAATTATGGATTTTTAAATTTCGCTATAATGCGTTGGTTAATAGTGGCTGCAGTGTTGTGTGTTGCGGCGGCGGCGGCCGAGGGTGAGCGCGGTCGCATCCGTTACGGTTTCTACCGCGGCGTGGGCGGCAGCGGCGTGTGGAACGCTGAGGCGGAGCTCAGTACACGACGCGTGTTCGGCGGAGAGGCCACAGACCTGTCTGTCTTTCCTGCTGTGTGCGCTTTGCTCGATCGGTACGTACTCTAGATAGTTATCGTTTATCGTTGCTCGAGCGCCTGTTCAGGTGAAAATTAGTCGTACTGTTTTATGATGCTAACCCTGTCTGATCTTTTTCATAATTCGTCGGGTTAACTAGCTGTAATTTTTGAATTTTATATTCTACTTGTATTAAAAAACATACTGATTTTTGTTTATAAAAGAACAGTTTCTCGAGTTCTCAGTTCATATACGTACTGGTCTTAGTTATCTGATACTTATAAGCTCATGAGGTGTACATAAATGTTAATGCAGCGTTATTTGTATCAGTTACTGGAGTACGCGGTGTTCGTGCGCGGTGGTGGCGCCGCGCTGGGCGCTCACCGCCGCCCACTGCGTGTCCCCGCGCGTCAGCTACGTGAAGTACAACGCGCGCCGCCCCACCGCGCCCGACGGGGACGTCGCACCTGTACACTACCTCTACAGGCACCCTGGGTATCGTCACCATCAGCCCATTGATGTGTCCACAGCTGGGGCACAGATCTCCTCTATGAATAGAATCATTATTTACAGAAAGGGGTATCATTTTCCGATAGCTGATCGAACGTACTAACTATTATGATATTAAACTTCTCCTCGAAAAAGTATATAAGGTTCGCTGATCTAATTCTAAATACGCATCTCGAACCCGTGTTTTCAGAAAGAGTTGTTATTTATGATATATGTTATTTCCTCGGAATTTTTAATTGTTATTTTCCGCATTCATTTTGTGAACGCAGATACAAGGTGGTGCAGGAGGATGAAGGACGCGGTGTGGACGTGACACTACTCCATCACGACGTGGGTCTGGTGCGGTCACGCGTCGACATGGTCCTCGCGACCCCTCCCAATACTGACCCACTGCACACCATGCGTTTATACAATCCTGTCGACCTCAAGAACGAGCAAGTGAAGGCATGAGATCGATATATTACAGACTTCAATAAAGCTTAAGCTATATAACTTATAAAATAACATTTGACATTCGGCGGATTCTTTTTCAGTGAGGACATCATATTGATAGTTCGATATTTGTCAACGTGCCCGCTAGGTGCTGGGCTTCGGTCGCACCGAGCGGTCGGTGCTCGGCGAGGAGTTGTTCGTGGTGCGGCTGCAGCTGGTGTTCTGCGAGCGCGGCGCGTGGTTCCACTGCGTGTGCGGCGTGGCGGCCGGACGGGACCCGCGCGGCGTCTGCTCCGGCGACTCCGGCGGACCCGTCATATATAAGGGAGCGCAGGTTTATATGTCACTTTTGACTTTGCAGGGAACCTGGCGAGTGACTAATGTACGAGTCCCAACTATTGAATGTGTCTGTCGAGATTTCTTTTCGAAGGTCTACCCACTAAAAACTCGGGATTAAAATTCGGGAAGTCGCAACTGAGTTTGTTGACACATTCATCTTATAGGTCACACGCCTCAGTTAATATTATTAGATCTTTCTAAAGCAACCACCTAAGATTATAGCGATTCCTATTGGTTAAGATTCGATAGTAGAAACTAAATATATCTTTAATCAGTTCTGGATGTGCCCAGTATCGGCACCACAATATAGATCATGTCCATTACTATAGACGGTTCGATAGCGCAAGACTTTCTAATTGAAAAATAAGTCAGCCAGTCCGTGTATGTGATATGCAGTAAGTTAAGATAAAATCTCATTAAGATATTTAGTTTAATTTATTAATCACAAACATTAAGGCGAGGTTGTACGAAATTTTCGCTTTTTAAACTATTTTTATTCTAAGGCTACGCTAATATTTGCCAAATAAAAATCATTTATGAAAATAAAACATATGATCGATTACTTGCTTAAATCAGAAACATAAATTTCAATAATTGTCTTGATAGAAAAAAATCGCTAATAGGTTTTGGATCGATTTTACGCTTAATATATTTCATATTATACAAAAATAGGTTTTAATATAATCTAAAGAAAATATAAAAATAAAATTAAAAAGGCATTTGTTTTTTTTTTCTTTGATTAAAAATTTATAAAATCAATCAAGCACGTCTTTACACACGTTGCGTATTTGTATGGGAACGTAAGTGAAGGTAAAAGAGGCAATAAATAAATGATTATGATTATGATTATGAAAGAGGGCCTTAAGATCATGATAGAAGCCTACTATAACACCACTACATTTCAGGTGGGCGTGACGTCAATGGGCCCGATGGAATGCACGCCCGTGAGTAGCAACACTATCGGCATCTTCGACGGCGGGAACTCAACAAATAGCACATCGAGTTTGATCCGCATGCCGCCGACGGGCGCCACGAGCGTGTTCACGTCGCTGTATAACTATGCGGACCTCATTAACGCCACCATACACGATACAGAGCAAGCGCTGCGCATGCGCATGCTACCCGCAGCGGCAATCACACACGGCAGCTTACCGGTAGCTGTGTTTGCGTTGACCGCGATGCAACTTATATTGCCGGCGCGGTAATAAAGTAAATTACGTTTTTTATTTTTTATCTTCATTGTAATAATTTGAATATTTTTTTTTATTCGATTAGGGATGTATTAATATAAATCGCTTAACAGATCATCGACATATTAGAGCTTGATAGCGCATAATAAAATAATTTTTACCTATAAAATATTCACTTGCCTCATGTGTTCCGATAAATTTTAATATGACTTTTATTGCAAAACAGACTAAATCAGACTTTAGGAAAATTAGGTAATAAACACCCAGTTGCACAAACCTTCATTAAAATCTTCATTAGTTCAAAGGGACATTATCGATACAAAATTTCATGTTTAGAACATTCATTAGAGTTTAAAGTAGTCATTTAACTTTAATGGACATTTGTACAACTGCCTGAAACCAAGACAACGGTGAAGACACGATTTAATATTAATAAGTTTTCAAAAAAAAAACCGATTATATCAAACTTTACTTGAAGCTACTATGAGAACAATCATGAAATAAAGCCTTAGCAATAAAAGAGGAATATCAAATCGGTTTACAGCCGACGGATACAGGCCGAACTGTATAGTTGTAGTAATCATTCGTGTACAAAGTTGTGATATACGTACACGTGCACTGACCGGTGTGAGGGGTCGCCGCCGCGGCCGCATCGGATCTGTAACAAACACAAAAGCTCTTGTCACCATTTATGTATTGTAACAAATTACATGTTATCTGTAAATACCACGTCCACACGCGTAGTAAAGCTCTTATACTACTCTACATATCATACGATATTATTTTCAATTACAATATTTATCATAATTACAATGCAACAAAGGTTGCATTACACTTTCATATGCGTTAGACGTATAAAGTCTATATTTAATGACTACTTACATATGAGACATATTATCCTATCTTATTTTACTATGAATAAAATTAAATAAATTGAATAAGCTGTATCTCATTTAATACAAATAGAATGCAATTCTAAAATTCTTCCTACTACGTTCCGATTAAAGTGCTACGTGTTACAACGTAGAAACAGTGCTACGATGTCGCAATATCTCGTAGCTTTGTAGCTGCACAGAATTCCTGTTTGCACTTTATTTATTGATGTCTGATAATAAAATGTTGTCAAATGTTAGGTTACTTATTAAAACAATTTACATTTTAAGACTTGATTCTTGGCCTTTAAAAAATACAAAGAAATATACTTTGTTTAAAGAAAAAAACTGTTAATAAGTATTTTAACTATTAAATACAGAGTAATGTATCACATAAAAGGGTTTAGCCGGATACGTATGACGAGTCGGCCCCCAAATGGGAATCGATATTGAAACTTATGTTTTAATATCGACTTGATGTTCAAACACGATTTATGTACTTTTCGCGACCGACTTCCGCTTTGACCTTGAGATAGAGAGCAAAATATCCGTATGCTTGACTATTACTGAATGTGATATATCTCTAAAGCTAATTAAGATAAAGAAGTGAAACTAACGCGAGGTGTTAGGTTACATTACAGAGTATATCACATATATTTTTTTATAATTTTTAGAATAAAAAATTACATTAAAAAAATAAAAATAAAAAAAAACATGTTTTTTTTTCTGAGTTCTCTGTGACTTACAATCACGAAATTAATATATGTTATGCTCCTTTGTGTGCTCTATCACCCATAAAAATTGCGTGAAAAAAAAGTTGGTGCAACACAACGAAAAAAAATTATATGTGATTTCTGTCTTATGGTATACCCCTGTATTATAAGGTTTTCACATAACATCATTGTTTTTTTTTTCGAAATTTCACATCAGCTTGTTTTAAAACATAAGTAACTAGTCTTAAGAGATGGGATAATAGTTAAAAAAGAAATGAAAAAAAAACAGCCAGTGTTCAATACTTATTATTATTACTTTTTCGTGTCTATCAAAATACAAGAAACAAAATATTAATCATCGTCACTGTTGTAATTAATTACAATCGGAACACTTTGAGTCGCAAATAAATTAGTTAGGACCTCAGCAGGACGTACGATTTTGGACAAATATCATCCATATGATAGATAATAAATAATAGCTGCTACATGTGAACAGCATCCCACTGTACATTTGCCATTGGGGCAATCACAGCAATAACGAAGAATACTATTGTAGTCATTACCTTCGGAAATATAGTGAATGTAAATTCGATAGACTTTTCTATTTATATGTCTTGATTTTACTTCTGCTTTGATGATATTAGGTGCTGATTTCACATATTGTACTGAGAGATTATTTTGATCGTCCATTATTTCGGCCAAGTTAAATGCTGCACATTTAGAAGTAGAAGCTTTTTTGTTAATATATGGGATAAGTCGACACTTCTTACAAAAAATATCATTAACTATTACGATTTTATTCAAACAGTCACTAAACACTTTAGCTTCTTCTTCATTCTTTATAATTTTTTTATAACCAGGAATCTTACTAACTAACTAAGTTATTTGCGACTCAAAGTGTTCCGATTGTAATTAATTACAACAGTGACGATGATTAATATTTTGTTTCTTGTATTTTGATAGACACGAAAAAGTAATAATAATAAGTATTGAACACTGGCTGTTTTTTTTTCATTTCTTTTTTAACTATTATCCCATCTCTTAAGACTAGTTACTTATGTTTTAAAACAAGCTGATGTGAAATTTCGAAAAAAAAAACAATGATGTTATGTGAAAACCTTATAATACAGGGGTATACCATAAGACAGAAATCACATATAATTTTTTTTCGTTGTGTTGCACCAACTTTTTTTTCACGCAATTTTTATGGGTGATAGAGCACACAAAGGAGCATAACATATATTAATTTCGTGATTGTAAGTCACAGAGAACTCAGAAAAAAAAACATGTTTTTTTTTATTTTTATTTTTTTAATGTAATTTTTTATTCTAAAAATTATAAAAAAATATATGTGATATACTCTGTAATGTAACCTAACACCTCGCGTTAGTTTCATTTCTTTATCTTAATTAGCTTCAGTGATATATCACATTCAGTAATAGTCAAGCATACGGATATTTTGCTCTCTATCTCAAGGTCAAAGCGGAAGTCGGTCGCGAAAAGTACATAAATCGTGTTTGAACATCAAGTCGATATTAAAACATAAGTTTCAATATCGATTCCCATTTGGGGGCCGACTCGTCATACGTATCCGGCTAAACCCTTTTAATAAAATATCAATAAAATTGTGATGTTGTGGAAATATATGTCCCTTACACATATATAAGGGGCATATATTTCCACAACATCACAAGCTATGAAACATTTGTTATGTGCAATATTCTGGATTCTTCATTGGCCTCATTTGTCCAAGCGGGTAGATCATTTCACTCACAATATTTGGCCAAATGTGATGGATATGATACTTTTTTTAATATCAAATCAATCAAATAATTTATTGGCCATATAACTCAGAAGGTTACACTCGGCAAGTCTTTTACAATAAGCATATTAAATTAAAAATAAAGGTTTAAATCATGCAGGTCAAATCATTGTAAGTAGGAATAATGGGTCCGTTTATACTATTTTATGAAAACACGCGTTGATTAATGATTTGGTTTGTTTTAAGATAGCTGAATAAATAATATGACTAATTTAAAATGTGGTCAAACGAGTATTTATTGAATATACTCATCATCATCATCACCGTCCTATTAATGTACCTACTGCTGGGGTCAGGCCGTCCCTGTGGATGGAATAGAATAGGGAAAATGGATCATGATCTACCACGCGTTACCAGTGCGGATTAGTGGTTATTAAAACTACAGATGCATCCGGGACCAACGGCCTAACGTGCTTTCCGAAGAACGCAGGAGGTCGAGATTATTAATATGAGGTCACTTATCCTAGGGCCGGCCATTACGAAAGTTGCTTAACAACTTAACAACTCATTGACGTTATTCTTCCAAGTCGCGATTGAATTAACTTCAACAGCAAAAACATTAAGCTGCAGTGCAGGTCCGCCTGTGCCGTAAAACTTGTTACAATGTTGCCGCAAACTTGAACGATGATAGCAACTTCCGATGTTAGAAAGTCTCGACAACCTATCGTGATTCTATAAACACTCTAAGCATGAAACATCCAGACACGAGGCGTGCTAGATAAGTTTACATTTTTTAATATGCGGTATATAGATGACTCTTTCTGACAACGGTTAGTTCGATAATGTAAATAATATCTCTTTATTATACTGCCTAATAAAAATGGAAGCAAATTATCAGTGTCGAATAAATCCAAGGACATAGTCCGATAGGTACGTGACTGTTTTAACGATGTCACTGGATTTAATACAAATATTAAGGAGAGCACAGCTGAAGGATCGGTGTCCGGTGACTCGGACACGATTTTCCGGGTTCTGTCTTCCACGACAGGATACACAGTGGATAGGAGAGATACTATGGGCCTTAACCATGGTCTTATAGACATTCTCATTATATTTTTTTCATTCAAACACCTACAATTAGTCCAACTAAGCCTATAAAGTATGTAGACGCGATGACGAATCAGATCGACCCCTGATTTCGGGCATTTAACAAAAAGACACGGCAATAAAACGTGGAGGGTCCTTATATCCTATAAAGAGATGGAGTAGATCTTATGGGTAACATGAGATTAAAGATCAAAGGCACGCTCAGTATATACACGAGGTAAGGACCAGTGCACACAAGCGACGAAATGGGCTGACAAGAAAATAAATGGAAGATTACCTGCCTGCGGAGGACCCTGTGATTATCTTACATAAGGTCATTTTTAATTAGCTTTGATATATTAAAAAATATATAGTATGTGGTGTGAAACAATTTCAATGAAACCTGTAACGAATTCTTCTTTCACGTTACAAACGCTTTGTGTGGAGCCAGACATGGAATACTTTTTACAGGGAAAAGCAATCTCTTTCCTGTTGGAAGAATCCATTATGTAGCCAGGCGGGAAACGCTGCGGGTAATAACTAGTCGTTTAAATGTTACAAAAACATTTTGTTATCCGGGCAACGGCTTCCAACTGAGCCACTAATGACTTTAACCGCAGTATTTTTTAGTTGTGTATTACTTTTGAAGACAGTCAGCGTATTTCAGTTAAAGTTTCGGCAAGTTAATTTGATTTCCGAATTTTACGATAGTTTCTTTTCTAATATTTCTTAGAGGTTTTAATAGTCTTTTGTGACATAATACGTATTATTTTGCTGTAGTTCGTACAAAAATATTGAGTATTTCAAACACCCAGCGCCTCGTATAGACTAAACACTATTGTGTGCCGCTCGTGTGTACCAGCCACATCTTTGGTTCAATATCTTAAAATATTAGGCAGACATTTGGCACTCCACTCGAAAATCCCTTTTATCGCGTTGCCTCAATTCGCCCTCTCTCGGATATAGCGTATAATAATGTCAATTTTTAGCAGGAAAATTGTATTTCAGGAAATTAGAAAAAGTAAATAGCGCACTTGACTCGTCGCCTGAATATGGTTAATGGTTATAGAGGCTTTTGACAAATTAGTATAATTGTGATCTTGTACTTATAACTGAATTATATAAATTCGTTAGTCCCTAATGACGCGTTATATTTCTTTTATGACGTATAATTATAAACTAAATATCTATATAAAATCTGCCATATTATATCTAAAATGTTACATTTTTATGTTTTGAAAAGAATGTTACTAAAAATATATATATAACTATTACTTACAAAAGGGGTGTAAAATATGAAAACAAACACATAATTATTTACTTTTGAATATCTCTATAGTTTATAAAAGAAAGTAATGAGAAAATTGCTGTACACGAGAGAGATATAAAATTTATCGTCTTAGCGAAAAACTTCTTTCAGATAGCATTCGTATGTTGAATGTAACGACTCGCCGACGCTGAATGAGATTCTGAGAGTTTAAGGACGATCGGAGGCAGCTGGGAGCG